TGCTTACGAAACTCACCAACAAAGGATTGCGAACAGATCGCGTCATGACCCTATCGAATTACCTGTCACCCGGCTTAGAGGCAGGCCAAATGATAATTGAGGCAACATCCACGTCTCTCATACTCTATACTTCTCGTCATATTTTCGGGTACTCATCGCACGGAGGATCAGCCACGTCTGCGAGAAAATGTTTACATGAAGGCGAAAGGAAGAAAGGTAGTTGCAAATTGAATCGTAACGTCCTCGTCAATTTATGGGTGCAAGGTTGTATCGTTGGTGTGGCATGTCAGTGTGCTGTTTGGAGAAACGAGCAATGGTTGTTCTTGTTGCTCTGTGGTGAATCCCTAATCTATCTCCTGGTCCCCGGTGCTCTCTCATCAGCAGTCTCAGATTCTCTTGTCTTCACTAGAGTTCGTTCACGAACAAAGAAATTCTGGTATCGAAGAGAAGAGACGTGAGCATGCATTGGGAACTTGTAAAGGAAGATATATCCGGAGGATTGGTTCCGTACTTCCCAGAGCCTGTCAAAAGAGCATGAGAACAAGCAATATGATTAGCCCAACCTGAGGCATTGATCTTTTTGGTGCAATGGCCTGCGCCATGCATTATTATGAAAGTTTCATATACGTATAACTTCCGCGTACACTTCTCAAGTTAAACATGACGCAAAATAAATTACATGATCCCAAAATGACAGCATGAAAGAACCGTTCGGGTAGATTGTAACAAATTCTGATAACAATTTGCTCCGTTAGCAGCAAAAACAAATGTGCAACTTTCAAATGGTATCACAGAAACAAGACAAATAAAGAAGACCTCTGAGGATATCGAGCAGTCTTTTCTAGCATGGCTATTATTTAAAGAAATTAGTGATTCGTTGAGTCCCGCTTGCCGCCATTTTGGCCTTCCCTTGCTTCAGGGCTGAACCGTTGCTAGTAGCACTCCTCATTTTTTTATTTCTACCACTAGATTTTGTGGGAGATTGGACAAAATCTTTTTCAGGGGGAAGCTGCGCAATGTTTGGTTTCGTTACTTTGGGGGGATTGGTTGTTATATCACGGGCTTCAGTAGCTTCCGGGGATACCCGTTTTCGGTTAGCTGCCGAGATCTGCGCAGCAGAATCAGCACCTCCATGCTATTTGAATGTAGCTAAATTTGTTTCAGCT